TACAATCTATTTAGAAATATCAGAGTTTCTACTTAAATGTCCCTTCTTTTCCTGCAGGCTTTCACCCTGCCTCCTCAAGAGAAGGATGTTTAGTGGATGTAGAACATCTCTTTCTCAAGTCCCAGTTGTTCTACCATTCTGTATTAATAGTGATGTTTTGGTTAACACACAGTAACTCCACATTTGATTTCTTATTATCTTAACTTTCCTTGGCTATTTCTTAAATAATTGAAATTATTTTCTAAGGAATCTTCATAAAACCTCTTGCCTCTGTGTCTTATAGGACAACAAAAATATGTATATTAAGCTATTTCCTTGAATGCTAATATGAATATTACTCATATTTCAAAACAAAATTTACATTTCTGTCATTAATCTATTGCTTATTATCTAAACTCACTATTCTTAGTTCTTCAAAACTCTTGCCTTTGCGTGATCTTATACCAATTGTTAAATTTACATTTGTCCTCAACTTTAATAAGTTGTTTTTTTGTGTGTGTGTGTTTTTTTTTTTGAGATGGAGCCTTGCTCTGTTACCTCCACCTCCTGGGTTCAAGCGATTCTGCTGCTTCAGCCTTCCGAGTGCCACCACATACAGCCAGTTTTTGTATTTTTAGTAGACATGGGGTTCTATGTTGGCCAGGATAGTCTCTATCTCTTGACCTTGTGATCTATCCGCCTCAGCCTCCCAAAGTTTTGGGATTACAGGTGCCTGGCCAACTTTAATAAGTTTTAACCGTTATTAACTGTATAGGTTTCAGTAATGACAAGCCACATAATTGTACCTCATATCAGTTAGTGACAATCATAGTCACTTTCCTCTAATGTCTTTTTTTTTTTTTTTTTTTTTTTTTTTGAGACCAAGTTTTGCTCTTGTTGCCTAGGCTGGAGTTCCATGGCGCAGTCTCAGCTCACTGTAACCTCCACCTCCTAGATTCAAGAGATTCTCCTGCCTCAGCCTCCTAAGTAGCCGGGATTACAGGCATGTGCCACCACACCTGGCTAATTTCTGTATTTTTAGTAGAGACAGGGTTTCACCATGTTAGTCAGACCAGTCTTGAATTCTGGTCCTCAGGCATTCTGTTCGCCTCAGCTTCTGAAAGTGCTAGAATTACTGATGTGAGCCACAGCTCCTGGCCAATGTCTTTTTTATTACCCTCTTTAATTCAAATTGCAGCTTTAGAAATGCTCATCCATTTACCATCATGATACACATGCAAAACATGTAAGGATGGTAAATGTCATGGAATAAGGTTATATAAATGCTTCCCCTAATGTCCGTGGCTTTGTCTTTTCAACACGCGTTCCCCCAATTATCTTCATAAATACTGTTAAAAAATTAGCATTTATAAAACTGAAATATGTCTCTTTTGACAAATTTTAAATTTTTTAACCCATAAAAATATAAATATTATGTTTTACAAAAAGCTAGCTTGTTTTAAGAGCTCTAGGCTGAATAATGAAGCATAGGAGTCTATGGTTAGTCTGTCTTTGAGTTAGGAATAGGTTCATAAAAATTTGTGAGTCTGTGTATATTCCTCCCTTTTTTTATTTCTATACTGTTTTCTTTATTACAACCAAAATTTAAGAGCTCTAACTCCCAAATAGATACTGTCATTGAGAAATTCATATCGTGGCTGTTTTACCATGGAAAAGACCAGTAAGTGACAATGATTAGGAATGTGTACTAAAAGTGAACACATTTTTATTATACACCTTATGAAAGCAATCAGTCAAAACATGGGAAACATGGAACTAGGGAGGAAAATCAAATGCTCCTGTTGCTTTATGCGTGAAGGCTCCACTTACTGATCCCTTAGTGCATTCTTACTGGTAAACTAGATCTGCCATAGGAGTGGAGCATGGCTTTAACAGGGCTTTGCAGAAGTCAATCCGCCAAGAAATAAAATCACAGCTTCTACTGCTTCTAATTTGTAGATAGGTATTTCTTTTTAAGCAAAGGGCCATGTTCTTTAGGAGAACTCTTGGCCTTTTTTTCTGATATTTCCTAAATTATTGCTCTTATAAGATATCACATGAAGATTTTAGAACACAAAGACATTATCAGTAGGAACATTCCTATTTAACCTTTATACTCTACTCAAAACAATATTTAAATGCTGCAAATTCCTTGGTGCATTTCTTTCTTAGCTTTTTGTTGCAGTGGGCCTTCGTTTTGAATTATTTCAAATGTCCATTGAGAATCTACCCCCATGCCTACCCCAGGCAAGATGATCATAATATTTAGTCAGAATTGACTTTAGTGACTCTGAAACAGAGTCTGAGTTTGGGTGGCAGGCTTTAACTCTTTTCTTGCTGGATTATAGAGAAATCTGAAGAATTTTGGAGGAGGAATCAGAGTAATGGGATAGGGTTGGAGGGAGAGTTGGAGGCAGCTATTTACCAACTAGTAGGGAAGAAGTTTAATATTTCACCTATTGGTAAGATCTCCCTGGTGCCACCTTGTCCCATCCCCCTGTTAAGAGGCAGAGTTTGTGGGTTTGTGAGAAGTTTGTTCACTGAAGCTCCTGCCACTGTAGACGTTAACTGTTTTTCTCCCTGTCGAGGTGACCTGCCTTCCTCTTTAGCGCGTAACACAGTTGGCAAAGATTACAGCTAACTCAACCCCTTTTCTTTGGGGGCAGGTTTCCTTTTCTCTCTGGCAGATATGACAAAATTACAAAATAGTAAGTTTGCCAAATTTTTCTTGGTATGTAGCAGAGCATGAAGACTGAAAAATATCTTATGAATTAGTTCACTGCCCTTAGATGTACCCACGTTGTCTTGTAAGACTAGAATGGCCCAAGCTTTACACATGCTCCTGGTCTAAGTACATCAAGGTCTTTTATTTACAAATGAAGAAAGGCAACATATGATTTATTTTTTTCATTCATTCAAGAAGTGTTTACCTAGAAAATTTTGTGAGCCAGACATGGTTCTGGACATACAGCAGTAAGCAAAATAGAAGGGGAAAAATTCCCTGCCCATGTGGTCAACCCTAGTGGGAGCAAACAATGTTCAAGGTAAATAAACCAAGTATGTAGTATGTTAGAGAACAATTAAATGCTGATCATAGAAATAAATTTAGGAAGTAGGGATAAGAAATATTGGGACTCAGGGAGGAGTTCATTGAAAAGATGATATTTGACTGGGCATGCTCATAATCCCAGCACTTTGGGAGGCCAAGGCAGGCTGATCACTTGAGGTCAGGGGTTTGAGACCAGCCTAGCCAACATGATGAAACCCTGTATCTACTAAAAATAGAAAAATGAGCTGGACATCATGGTGCATGCCTGTAATCCCAGCTACTTGGGAGGTTGAGACATGAGAATAGCTTGAACTTTGGAGGGGGAGGCTGCAGTGAGCCGAGATTATGCCACTGTACTCCAGCCTGGAGAACAGAGTGAGACTCTGTCTCAAAAAAAAAAAAAAAAAAAAAAAGACTTTTGAGAAATGGCCTGAAGAAAATAAAGGGACACTGAGTTATCAGAAGGAAAAGCATTCCAGGTACAGAGAGCAGTAAGGGTGACTACCCCATGATGGAGGAACTCTGCCGGACATTTGAAGAGCAGCAAAGAGGCCAATGTGGCTGGAGAGTGGAGTGAGCCACTCCATTACCAAAGGAGGAGGCCAGAGAGAGCTAGGCACCAGGTGGTTAATGGATTTATAAAGGGAATTAGTTAGTGGGTTTTGATGAAAGTTACCTAATCTGGTTTACATTTTAATAGGATCTTTTTTATTATCTTACTTAAAGATAGCAGATTCTTTTTGCAGCTCTGTTGAAGAACTAGAGGGAAATAATGTGGAGACCAAGTCTAATTAGGTACTTCCTAATGACGATTCAAATCATGTAGTAGCAGTTAAACTGGATGCTGGATGCTGGATGTCTTCTAAGGGAAGGGGCAAAAGGATTGACTCAGTGTGAGATGTGACAGATGGAAGACGAGGGTGAACGGAAGGATGACTTGTTCTTTACGGGAATACTGTGAGAATAGGATGCGGCAGAGGGATAAAGAGGAATTATCATGATCTCAGTTTTAGACATGCTAAATTGAAGTGGCTTTAGACATTAAGAGGAGATCAGAACAGAGACACAAGATAGACACAGATCTGGAATTCATCGGCATGCAAATAATACTTTAAAACCAGAGAATAAATGAGATCCTTAGGAGAAGAGCAGAGATAGTAAATGGAATGTGTTCACAGACCACACCCTGGACCACAGCAGTATTGATCAGGAGTTGAAGAGAAGTAGACACAGAAAACTGAGTAGCCATAGAGTATAGATCTGTAAAGAGTAAGAAATGTGGTTTCCTGGAAGAAAAGAATGTATTTTAAGAGGGTGGTCAGCTTTGCTTAAAGTTGCTAATAGGTCACATAAATGAGTTCTGAGAAGTGGCCATTGATTTATTCATAGTCAAGGTCTTTGGTGACTTTGATAGGAATAGTTTAAATGGATCAAAGCCTGGGAAAAGTGTCATTGAAAGGGTTCAAATGGGATATGAGAAATTGGAGACAAACTCTGAATAACTTTATTGATTGATGGATTGATTGAGATGGAGTTTCACTCTTGTCACCCAGCTACTCGGGAGGCTGAGGCAGGAGAATTGCTTGAACCCAGGAGGCGGAGGTTGCGGTGAGCCGAGATCGCGCCATTGCACTCCAGCCTGGGTAACAAGAGCGAAACTCTGTCTCCAAAAAAAAAAAAAAAGTTTTTAACTCTGTTACTTATGAGTCCTCTGGATTACATTCGTTGTTTGCAGAGCAGTCTCCCTTTCTAGCCTAAGTTCTTGAGAAAGGCCATATTTTATTTTATTTTTTAACGTGTCTATTCCATAGCCCAGCTTCTCCATGTGGCAGATGCTTCATAAACGTTTTTAAAGGATGACAGTTATCTTCCATTTGGATATATCCTGTGTTCGACATAAAGTTCAGGGTCTTCCTAAAGTTTGCTGTTAATTTCTAAATGCAGGATTCTATTTGGCCATTTTATTTTCCAGATTCCCTGTGAAGGAGGCAGAGTGAGGGCAGGCTCACTGCAGCTCAGCAGCAAGTCTGCAGGGAATTCATCTTTGAAAAGGACAAAGCGAAAAGCACCTTCCCCACCCTCCAAAATACCCCTGCATCAAAGTGATGAAAATAGTCATGTATCTGGTAATGTGATTTTTTTCATTAACATTACATTTGTCTTTTGTTTTGTTTAATATGGACAGTAGGAAAGATATGGATTATATGTTATGCTTTTTTAACAAAACTGAGGCTTTTAAAATATATCTAGATTAGTCTCACTTAGCTGCCTTTTAAAAATCTGAAACATCACAAAATAAAGTGTCAAAATTATACAACTCCATTATCCTAAAATGAACATGTCAGAATTTGTGAATTTATTCAGAAAGGTGCTGCCGTTTCAGGATTAACCGCATAGAGGAAAGGGAATCTAAGTGGATTTTAGTTGTTTCATAGCTAGATAGTGAAATGGCTTCTAGCAAGGCTCACTACTTTCTGAACTATATAAAAATAAGCTAAACTGTTAAGGAATTGTTTTATTCGTGAACATGACTTTATAAGTTGTGTTGCTTCTTTCCTTTAGCCTTACAGCCAGAAGATGGAGCTCCTTCAGACAGTGTTTCAGAAGCAAACTCTCCTGCGGAGCTATCAAGCCCAGGTATGACACCCTTATTCCACGTGGTATAATTACTGAAAAAGGGCTTCCATGATTACTGAGAAACAAATCCAGTTGTGATGCTTTGTACATGAAAGACATACAGATTCTTTGGCCTCATTTCCCAAATTTTACCTTATAAAAATGAATTCTTGCCCCCACCCATCTGCCCCTCAACCCAGTTAGAGTATGAAGTTGGCAGAGATCAAAATTTCAGTTCTGGAATTGTCCTTGAGCACCTTTCTCTATGTAGTCTCCTGTTTTTCCTTATGCAATATCAGGTTAACATTTATTAACTTCCTTCCCAAGTGTATTGACACACCATAATTAGGAATGTACCTTGGTGTGTGCAAAAGGAAACTTAAAAGTAAGTGTAAGCACAATTTCCTTATGCAACTGTTCTAGGTATGAACTCAACATACAAGTATCCTACTCTAATGGTAAAAGTTTGTTGCCATGAAAATGTTTTCTGTTGCAGTATATGGCTCTCCTTGTGGATTCTCCCCAAATGAAATTTCGTTAAAAGTAACATAATTTATTCTAACATTTACCAGTGTTTTTAGTAATACTAAGTAGCTTTTATAAGTATGATAAAAATGTTTTAATCTTTAGAGTTACTATTAGGCATCAATGAATGTGAAAGACTAGTAATGTCATACTAAAAATAGACTATGATTACATTAGGACTTTATCATGGGGATAATTTTTTAAGTATGGAAAATGCTTAATATAACTCACCTAATTTTTATAATTTATATTCCAAATACTGGAAACATTTAGGAGCAACACTCTTGAATCTTGAATCTTTAAGTGGTATTTAGGAATTTGGAATTTTAACATATATATGTAAGAATTCTTCATTCCTCTATGATTTTAAATCTTATTATCAGATAACTAATAATGACTTTTCTCAGCTTTTACTCAGAATAATGTAAATGGCACCATTTTGTTCCACAAAGGAAATTTATTGGATAATGTTAACAATTACAACTGTTTTGTGAAAGTAGAAGTCACTGAAGTATTAGAAAAAGGTGTGCATGCTATTCAAACTTTGTCTCATATCTGCTTTCTTCATTTTTTTCCATTTTACCTTCTTGTTTAATGCATGGATAATTGTAAGCTAACAAATCTGATTTCTTCCAAAATGCTTCTTGGTCTCTGCTTGCCTTAACTCTGTTGTCTAAGTGCCATTTCCACAGATTCTACTTCTTTGGCAGAAACGTCCTTTGGCCCTGGGCTCTCCACTCAGGAGCAGTGCACTGTGTCCAAACTGATGGAGGAAACCTCTGTCTTTGAGTGCCCTGGAACACCTGAGGCAGCCATAACATCACTGACATGTAGGTGGTCAGGCCTTTCTTGGCTGGTGCTTTGTGTCAAGCAGATTAAGATATCATCAGTTGTAAATCTGATTACTTACTGAAACCTTGTATAAATATATTTTATAAAGGAAGAGAAGTTTCCCCTTTTTCACTGAAAATTTTGTCTGGGTTTGGAGTTTGTTGTTTTTCCCAACCATACAGATGAATACAACAGAGTGGATTAGTTAAATAAAATCAGTGGTTCTGAAGAATTTTAGCTTCTCTTCTATTTGTCTTATATATACTGAGAGAGTCACTTAAGAAACACAGTTGAGACTGGGCATGGTGGCTCACACTTGTAATCCCAGCTACTCATGAGGCTGAGGTGGGAGAATTGCTTGACTCCTGAATTTTGAGACAGTAGTGAGCTATGATTATGCCACTGCATTCCAGCCTGAGTGACAAAGCAGGATCCTGTAATAAAAATAAAAATAAAAAACACATTTGTATCTAAACCATCATGACCTTTCATTTTTCTCAATGTAGAGTTTTCAAATTATGTAAACACATTCTTAACTCATAGATACAATATGTTCTCCTAGACACATTATATTATACACGAATATCATAATGACTATTTCATGTCATAATAAAGTGTCATTTGCCAAGATACGTACATTTGAAAATTTACTTAAACCTAAATTTTAAGATACTTTTATTGAGTAATCTATTTCTATTAATGACAAAAATACCATTAAAATCTGTCATATTAATTTCTCAAAGAGCACAAATGGCACACTTTTCTGTCTATATGCCTAGAGATAAAATTTAAAAAATATATTTTAAGTACTTTAAATATTCAATTATGTTAAAATTTTAAATTTTGTAGATGTGCTGATTACTATCATCTGATGGTATATCACCTCCCCACCCTGCCCCTCCCCCCACTCCCAGCCTTATGATAAAATTAAATTTCATTCAGATACTATGGTATACATGGAAATGTTTAATTATATTTAGTGAAAGTCCAAAACCTCACTCTTCGGCTTGCATTTACTTTCACAGCTAATCTTGTCAATAAGCATGAATATTAACTGCTAGGGATGCCTCCTTCTCTTTTACCCTGCTGGCTATTGGTTGTTGGTGATAAAACATATTTTTTATATAATGAAATATTAACTACAGCTGTTGAAAATATTTATGTATACGCACATGTATTAATATGGATGATATTTAAGATATTGTAAGTATAGAAAAAGGTGGCAACAGTATGCTTCCAGTTATATTAAATAAACTATCAAAAAAACTAACAAAAGAAAAGGAAAAAGGAAACGTGGGTATGGTTATCAGCATATGCATGTATATTACACTTTCTCAGAACATACAGGAAAAACTGTTAAGGCAAGGTGCCTCTGAGAATCAAACTGAGTAGGAATAAAACTTAATTTTCATTGTCTAATACTTGCTCTATTTGTAATTTTTAAAATTATATCAAGCATCTAGGTCAGTGGCTTTTAACTCTGATTGCATAGTAGAATCATCTGAGTAGGCTTAAAAGTCCCTTGCCCCCAACCCTTCAGGGATTCTGATTTTGTAGAATAGGGTGTGAGGCTCAGTATTTTTTTTTTTTTTTTTTTTGAGATGGAGTTTCGCTATTATTACCCAGGCTGGAGTGCAATGGTGAGATCTCAGCTCACTGCAACCTCCGCCTCCTGGGTTCAGGCAATTCTCCTGCCTCAGCCTCCTGAGTAGCTGGGATTACAGGCACGTGCCGCCATGCCCAGCTAATTTTTTGTATTTATAGTAGAGACGGGGTTTCACCATGTTGACCAGGATGGTCTCGATCTCTTGACCTTGTGATCCACCTGCCTCAGCCTCCCAAAGTGCTGGGATTACAGGCTTGAGCCACCGCGCCCGGCCGAGGCTCAGTATTTTTAAAGGCGGCTCAAGTAATTATCAATTATAGTTGGTACTAATAACTTATTGAGTCAAATTTTATGGGTGCCCTTGTAGACAATACAGAAATCTCATGTGCTTTTAATTTTCGCTTTTAAAATTATTAATTTGCATTTAATTTGCACTACTGAGTTGTTGGGTGAGTGTAAAAATCTTCCAGTTGAAAGATAATTCTTAAAGGGAATATTTAACTTGAAGTTTATGAGATTAAATAACCTTTTGTTTCTAACATGAATAAAACCTAGAGTAATAGCAAATGTTTTTGAGAATTATGAGTCTGAGATAATCTAGTTTCATGTTAACGTGACTACTCACCAGGAGAAAGAACTTCACTATTATTTTTGAAGCAGAACTTAAAAGAGTCTAGCCAATTACTATTTTTCAAAATTCTTTCTTTGCCAGAATTGCATAGGATGAATGAGGTAAATTAATATTTAGGATTATATCTGCATTTCTTTGTAGCTGGAATAAGCTCTGATTATAGCCTTGAAGAGATAGATGAAAAGGAAGAACTGAGTGACGTGCCTAAGGTAGAAGCTGAAAATATTTGTGTGAAGTCACAAGATATTCCTTTTGTATCTACTGATACAATTAATACACTGAAAAATGATCCTGACTCAGCCCTTGGCAATGATGGTGGAGAGTTCTCACAAAACTCCAAGGAAGAAAAACAAGAAACTAGAAGCACAGATGGACAGTAAGTAGTCTCTGTGCTGGAGTGTTGGTGGTGGTTTGTTTAATACTAGTCTTCTGAAATATAGATCTGATATTTTAATCATAAATACAGTTAGCCCTTTGGTTTTGACTTTATCCCTTTTACCATTATGAAAATGTTTATTAATGAAATACTTATTTGCTGTAAATATGTTCAAAGAAAATCAAATGTGATAGTTCTAATATCCGTGCATCAGATAAACCATGAGAGATAGTTAATTTGTGTGATTAAAAATGGAAAGTTTGTGTTTGTGTATGTTTTGCCTATTATCTCTGTGACCTAAATGTAATATTTAATTTTCAATTTTTACCAAGTATTCCTGGAGGATTTTCACTGACTGGCATATGAAAACAATTCTGCATATTAGAGTATGATGTTATATCACGAGTATTATCTTTGCAGTCAACGTTATGAAACAGAGAATGTACTTTCTACATGATTCTAGAAATGGACAGCTATAGTTTATTCCACTTAGGTTTGAAATGCAACACCATGATTAAGGTGAAATCAATGAAGGAAAATAAACCATATATATCAGAGGTTTACTATGACTTGCATGAGATTGTCTCCTTATTAAACTGTTCTATCACCAAAGGGAAAAAAAAATCAGTGAGGTCAATCTGCATTCTGATTTATATAGTTGACCTTCTCAGATGTAAAACTAAAATGTTTCATTTAATTTCTTTTTTCTTTAAAAGGCAAATAACTGATAATAACAAAATAAAGCCACTATTTTGGAAAAGTGTTGATTTTACCAAGCTTCTTACATCTTTCTTTTTAATGGGACCACCATATGAAAACAAATGTTTCATAGCAGCATTTCTTCTCAGTTATATTTTTCCTCTGCTGTTAAATTTCCGACGCTTGGCAGAAATAGATAATTATTTTAGTCCATCTGTCTTTGGAAATTATTGCCTGTTTTCTCATCGTGTGTGTGTGTGTGACTCTGTGTGTGCGTGTTTCAATAGTATCAACATACAACATACCGTGTCATATCTTCCAGAGAACTGCACAGTGTAGTATATGATACAAGCAATGAAAAGAAGGTAGTTGACAGCCTAAGAAACTTGAAGTCATTGGGCCCAAACCAAGAGAATGGTGAGTTATGTAAATTAATAGCCAGTACTTTATTGCATGCCAAGGACAATACCTAACACTTTTTGCATATATTAACTCATTTAATCTCCTGTAACTCATTTAATACCTACCTCATTTGTGAATATTATGGGTACTAATATTTTTAGTCCCATTTTACAGATGATTGTACCACAGAGATGTTAAATAACTCACCTGAGGTCTCACAACTACTAGGATTTAAACTCAGGCAATATTGCTCCAAAGTGTGCTCTTAAGACCGTGTGTACTACTTTTGTGGTTAAAACATAGAGATTATCTAATTTAGACTTTGGATCTTAAAGATGTTTCCTCTGCGTATCTATTTGTGATCTCCTTTTTTTTTTTTCTTGAATGAAACTTTTCTTCCTGATTTTCAAGGCCCATATCACCTAATGATACCATTTTATTTACCACTGTTGCTCAGTTCCCATCCCCAAATCAACACAACGTATTTTTTCTCATGATGTCATTTGCTCATTTCTATATCATAAGGCCTATATTCATGTTGTCTTTGCCTGGAAAACAATTTTTCATCTAATTTACCCATTCAATTTTTATCCAAATCATATCATTTCATTTTTTAAAACTGATTATTAGAAGGTTTGTGGTTCTGTATTTATGATTCCTCAACTAAATCAGGTAGTCTTGGATCCAAGAAATTACATTTGATACTTTGCAGTACTTATGGCACTGGGCAGAATACTGAGATACTCATAAAATATTACTTAGTATTGAATTTCAGAAAAGCAATCCTATGCAAATAGAAAATTCAAGGAATGCGCAACGATGTTTTAAGGAGATAAGAAGGAAGTGGCTTATGAATTCTCAGTCTAATCTTTTATGTTAGTATACAAAACTAGGTTAAGATATTCAGAAAACATAGGAATATAGTACAGTACTGTATTCATATTTGAATAAGACATAGATAATCCCAATGCCATATATAAATATAGTTTATATATATATGTATATATATATAAAATTTTATGTGTGTGGTATGTATTCAGTAACCTGAATATGTATGCTTCTGATTCATTTTCTCCCACATTCAATACCATTGTGAGATATACTGAGGAGGTCTAAAAGCAAATAATTTCTTCATTCTCTTCCTCTTAAGTTTTTCACAGCACATACTATGATGGCAATAGCATTTCTATGGAGAAATTATGATTTAAAAGCCGCTTCTTTCTCTTTAAAACAATAGTCAAGTTGAATCATTTTGCTAAGATTTTTGTTGTCAAATTAGTGCTAGAGTCACAAGTATATATACGTAGTATTATATTTGCACGTGGTTTGTTTGGCTAAGACGCTTGTCAACTCTAGTTGTTTTTTTTAAAGTAAATACTGTCTGTTATTCTTAAAGTAGTTTGATTCTGTTTTCCTTTTTACCTAGCCTTATCTAAATCACCGTCTTGTAAGGTTGTCAATGTCAGTGTCAGTTTTGAGTAGAGGGTCACTATAGTATAAAAGATACCTTCTCCCTCTACTGGCCATCCTTGGAAAATGATCTAGCTATTCATAAACACTTGGTTAACATCATTGTCAGTTGTATATGAGGATAGATTCTGGGTTTCCAGGACTGCCAATCATTGGAAATAATCATGAAATGTTGAGAAGAAATTCAGAGTTAGACAATGGTAAAGTAGGTATTACCCACCAAAAATATGAAAAACAGAGACTTAGAATTCTAAAACCAATAAATTAGGGTTTCAAAAAGGGGTTTAATTTAAAATAAATGTTTACAAAGATTAACTTTTCTTTTGGAAAATGTGTTGTGTGAATTGGGAAATATATATATTCAGTGGAAAATTAGAAATAAAGAAGGAAATAGATTTAGACTTATTTCCTGCTGCAGGAACTGTGTCTTAAATTCTTTCATGCTCATAACAGTGTTCAGAATAGCGTTTTCATATAAAAACATTGAAAAATGCTTACTAATTAAGTAAATTGAGAGCTAAGGCAGAATTATGCCTCTTCTATAGTTCCTAAGAGCACGAGTCTTTAATCTTGTAAATCAAAAGAGTTAATAATAATTGGTCATTGAGTAAAGAATTCAGTTAGGTAGATGATACATATTCTGATAGTTGCATTTTTATCTGGAAAGAGTAAAAATGAGTTGCATTTTAAAATTACATGTTTAATATAGGAATCTTGCAATGCAATATGGAATATTAATTAACTGCCACAACCAAATAACTATGCAGTCAGGCAGAGTTTAAAAATGTGAAGATATTTTAAAAAAATGTTTGTATACAAATTTATCTGACATGGTATTTTTCTTCATGCTTATCTCTTTTTCTTTTTCTTTTTTTAAAAGATGAATTATACAGTGTAACTCTTTACATTTCATCTCTTCCCTATAGGTAAAAGTGGGTAATGATAAAACTGTAGAGAAACACTTGACATACTTTCACAATTTGACCCCCAGGTCTCACATTTAATTGTGCTGTGCAAATTATTGCCATATCTGAAAAGGCCACTAGGGTTTTGAAGATAAGCACAGTGGTCCTGCAGGAGGCATGATTCTTCAAGGCATTTGAACAGAGGAGCACAGGAATAACTTAATTCAGTACTAGGCACATGGTGCAGATGCCAAAGCCTGTGTTTCCTTCTGCATGCCTCCTGCCAGTGCTTTGCCATCATGTCGTTGACTGGAAGTTGTTGCTCTGTTAACCTAGACACTGGCAAATGATTTTTGTTTTCAAGAGGTCTGAATTAGAATCAAAAGGAAAAGTAGTGCAAGGAAGAGGAAGGTTATTTTCTTTACTTTGGTTTTGATTCTGACTCTAGAATAATGATGTCTATTTCCAGCAGAGAAAAATCTAAACCAATAAGACTGATTTCATGTTATTGAAATCACCCATGTTATAACTAAAAGCAAAGTCATCTAACAGTCTTCAGCAAGGATACCTAATTAACAAGAGAATCAACTGAGATTCTGCTTTTACTGTAAATCTTGAAGTTAATGTTTTCTATTACAGGCCTTCATTAAAACTGACTACATTTGCTGGGATTTTTTTTTCTTTTTAATGTTAGGTATGAAAATACAAATATGCTAGGGGCTATAGAAAAGACAGTCAAAATAGAAAACAAAAGAGAAAAAAATACAATTTTTGAATTTGTCAGTTTCTATTTTTTGTTATTATGAACAATGAATTTTTTTTTTACTTCTAAAAAGAAGCACAGCTACCTTCTATGGAGTATTTATTCCAGTCAGTATACTAATTAGCATGCTATCTAAATGATACATACATAATACAACAAACATTTTCACCTTGTTATGTCTGAGCAGAAAGGCCCAAAGGGGTTAATTAACATGTTGTGGTCATACTAGTTAAGCCAAGGGTTCCAAACTTCACTCCGTATGAATCCAAAGCCCCTACTGTGTTCTCTGTATGTTACTACCTGCCTTTATAAACTCAGTGAGTTGAAAATTATCTGTAGAACTTAAACTATTTCAGGTTGGATAAAGTAGGCATTAAAAACTTGAGGTTTTCTACTTTTTTCATGTATTTAACTTGATCTTTTTTTCTCTCAATAGTTCAAAATGAAATAATTGTCTTTCCAAAGAACACAGAAGACAATATGAAAAATGAAGTGAAGAAAACAGAAATCAATGTAGGAGGTGTTGCCAAAAATAACGACATTGATATGGAAGTTGAGAGACCATCAAACTCCCAGGCACATGAAACAGATACTTCTATAAGTTACAAGGAAAGCCATCTAGCAGCATCAGTACCAGATAAAAAACTGAATCAACCCAGTGTAGAAAAGACAAAAATGCAAGATGTAGCAATTCAAACAACCCCGTCTTGTAACAGTTTTGATGGGAAACACCAAGATCATAATTTGTCTGACTCCAAAGTTGAAGAAAGTGTGCAAACTTCAAATAACATATCAACTGAACACTCATCCTTAAGTTCACAAGATTCCGTAGATACCTCAAGGGAATTCAGGAGCCAAGGCACCCTAATTATACATTCAGAAGATCCGTTTACCATAAAAGATCCAATTTGTGCACATGGTAATGCTGATCTTTTGCCTTCTATTGATAGGATTGATAAAAATTCAACTGCTTCTTACCTAAAGAATTATCCACTTTATAGACAGGACTACAATCCCAAGCCAAAACCTTCAAATGAAATTACACGAGAGTATATACCCAAAATTGGAATGACTACTTATAAAATAGTGCCTCCCAAATCCTTGGAAATACTGAAAGACTGGCAATCAGAAACCATAGGGTATAAAGATGATCAGGACATACATACTTCAGGGAAAAAGCACACTCATGAGAATGTGGAAGAAACTGCCATCCAAACAGAAGATTCTGCTATTTCTGAAGGCCCAAAAGGGCCACTGCCAGACCTTAAACCAAAGCCAAACCTGAGAACGGAGCATCAGGTACACGGTTCTGTGAGCTCACCTGTTGGTGCCATGGTTAGTCCTCTGAAACCTACTCCCAAAATGACAAGAGACACTGGCACTGCTCCTTTTGCACCAAATTTGGAAGACATAAACAATATTTTGGAATCAAAATTTAAATCTCGAGCTTCAAATCCCCAGGCCAAACCCAGTTCCTTTTTCTTGCAGATGCAGAAGAGAGTATCGGGTCACTATGTGACCTCTGCAGCTGCCAAGAGTGTCCATGCTGCCCCTAATCCTGCTCCAAAAGAACTGACAAATAAAGAGGCGGAAAGGAATATGCTGCCTTCTCCGGAGCAAACTCTTTCTCCCTTAAGTAAAACGGCTCACTCTGTTCCACAACCCCTTGTTGAAAAAACTGATGATGATGTCATCAGTCAGAAGCCTGATGAAGCCTCTCCTCCTCCCATAGCTCCGAAACCTGTGACAATTCCTGCTAGTCAGGTATCTGCACAAAACCTGAAGACTCTGAAAACTTTTGGTGCCCCACGACCATACTCAAGTTCTGGTCCTTCACCGTTTGCTCTCGCTGTAGTGAAAAGGTCACAGTCTTTCAGTAAAGAACGTACCGAGTCATCTAGTGCCGGTGCATCGGTTCAACCTCCAGCCAACACGGAGGAAGGGAAGACTCATTCTGTAAATAAATTTGTGGACATCCCACAACTTGGTGTGACTGATAAGGTAAATGTAACCTTTTAAAATATAAGTATTCAAATTTAACAACATGGTTTAATGGGGATTAACAAGCTTGTTGATATGTTTGTGTGCTACTTAACTCCGAACTCATATTAATCTGAAATTAAGCTATTGTAGTGAAGAGAGTGGTAATACACAAAATCCGATATTCACTCACAGCTATAACTTACACAACTTGTTGAGATATTACTATAAGGTCATCATATAATAGTGTCATTAGCAAATGTTTTAAAGTTTCTTTGCTCATTCATTTCTATGATATACTTACTAGTTTATGGTTCTATTTTTCTGTGTTATCTTAATTTGTTTTTAACTTGTCTAAGTCCTCTGGTTTATTCTCCAGTTTTATATTACTATATAATAGCAAAAGAAATAGTCTTAAGGAAATAGAAAGATAACAGTATCAGAGACTAGACAAAATAACTAAGAATCTCTCAGCTATGTGGTTTCCATCATATACACTCAATGCCAGTTTGCATATATTGTACGTTTTCACATATAAATAAATTGAAAGCAGACTTTTAATATGTAATTTTCTTAATTCTCCATTTGGTTAATTCACTATCAACTTTGAACTATAATATGTATGTTGACCAAAATGTTATCTAGCCACTATCTAACCTTAAATATTTACCAAAAAGAAGTGTTGTTGACTTAGTGTTTGGTTAACTAAATGTTGTATTTTGCTAGCTTCAGATAATAGAGTCAAAGGAGAAGGTGAAATTCACAGCATGATTTATGATAATCCTCATGCAATTTTAAAGAAATACTGTGTGTACTCTTATTCTGATAGTGTTTAAAGAGTACGTTCATATTTGTGTGACAGTTCTAGAAGTATTGAATATTACTTTTTCAAACATTACTAAAGCAAAAGAATGTTAACCATATTTCCAAGTAAATGTTTTTCCATAATTACATAACAATATTTATCTTAAGGAATATTTGTTCATGTATTTTTACATTTACGTTTATTACTTTAGTATAGCATCAGGAATAGAAGTATAATATAGAGATTAATTATTTACTCGGGTAAAAGCCTGTGACTTTTCTTGGAATAGAATGCCATTCCTAAACAATGGAAGTCTGGTTTAGATAGTAAAAACTTTTGAGTCATTGCCTGAGCCCCGTTTAGCTCATTTTTTGGTAAAGTTATGTATTTGGCAGTTTGAAAAAGACATTTAAGATTAGTTGATAACATATGCCACTTACATCAGTTACTAAACATTCCTTCCTGAGAAGCTTAATTAAATTTTTGATTCTTCACTTCGGAAGTTCCTAATTTTTATATATTGATTCTCATTCCAGAAATAAAACATGGTCAGCACTTAGTCCCTGTGACTTCCAGAAACACAAAGTAAGCTACTAAGTGTAGCATAGTAATTTGTATTCCTTTATTAGAAGAGATAATAGATTCCACAGATAATGACATTGTCCATTTGACTGTCTTGTTCATTTAAAAATAGTAATTTCACAGTCTAGAATGTTGAAACCATGAAAATGGGTCATTTTCTAGTTTGCAGAATTTTAAAAATTCTTAATTTGGCTTTTCTAGCCAATGTTGTGTATTGGTGAAGTCAGCAGTATTTAACCCAAGCACAATAAAACCACCACTGTATTTATGAAGCAAAGAGAGGTGCCACCTTTCTTCTTTGGCTTTCTGAGTTCCAAAGAAAATAATACCCTCATCTTCAGCTTAGCTCTGGCAGCAGAGATAATTCATTGGGTGAGGAAACAGAGCTGCGTCTGAAACACCAGTATGGCAAATGGTGATTGCTAAAGAACTATTGATGATGAAAATGCTTAGCAAAAAAAAAAAAAAAAAAAAATGGCCCATTCTTTTCTTGACATTCATATAAATATTTCACGTTTATTTTTGTAGGAAAATAACTCTGCACATAATGAACAGAATTCTCAAATACCAACTCCAACTGATCGCCCATCATTCACTCTTATGAGACAAAGTTCTTTACCATTCCAAAGCTCTGACCCAGAACAGATGAGACAGAGTTTGCTGACTGCAATCCGTTCAGGAGAGGCTGCTGCCAAATTGAAAAGGGTAAGTCTTCTTCATCACATGGGTGACCGTGGGTTTATTGTCACCGTTGTCAAACTAACACTCAGGGAAACAAAATTTCTAGCATGTAAATCTAAATAGGGTTCCAGAAGTTAACTTTTATGTTAGAAGTCACTTTTGAAGTATAAGGTGAAAGAGTTCCAGAGTCTTCCACATACTTGAAAAATACGTCAGGTCTATTTTCCACAACGTGGGCCAGGTGCAGAACATGAGTTTTGTTCATTCTTAAGAAGTACATAGAGAATGCCCTGGACTCTTATTTTAAGAGATTATGTTAGCACCTCAAGAAAGATTCTTTGGAAAATACCTCACTGTTCTAAAAAAGGTAAATTAGTGATAGGACCCTACAAGTTTATAGTCATGGCTCTTGCTATGATTAGTTACTACCATACCTGAGACTTAGGGAAGAATTTATAGGTTAAACCAAAAAAAGGAGAGAAAATCTAGAGAATGTAGATAAGACATAATGCAGAAATTCAACTCTTCGTAATGCGCTGCTCAAGCTGCCGAGCTCCTCCTTACTGTGGAGTAGAAGATCATCAAAAGAGGAAGTCTTTTTCTCAAGAAAAACACCCAATAGTGTCACGGGGAATTCTTTTCAGGTGAATTTCCTCCTTGAGTTTCCGTCATCCACTGAGAAGTGGATGCGGTGAAGCTTTGAACAGGACTTCAGCACTTAGACTCCTCAGAGGGAGTACCCTCCCTAAACCTCTCTCCTCTTCTACCCTTAATTGTCCTGGTTGAAAGCACCGTAGCATCTAAGACAAGGAAACTACTTATCATTCCATTAACTCCTGAGGCATTTTATTTTGAGAATTCCTTCGATGATCATTTTAAAATCCATTTAGAGAACAGTAAGAGACGTGTTGAGCAAAACATTGAGCTCAACAGCAATTAAATCTGCAAAGGAACAGGGATGCTACTAAGATAGAAAAAAAAAGTGGGGAAAGACTTCCTGGGTCCTTCAGCCATACCGACATTGGCCAAACTTGACGGCTTAAGCCAGCTTCCTCAGTGTGTTTGTGACGAGCTATGAGTGACAGCCATTTCCTCCCAGAGGATTTGGCACTCCTGTCTGGGCAAACATGGAGACAAGGCAAAATATTGGGTGCTGTCAGGAGGGGTGGGGAACAGGAAGGAGTAATTCAGGAGGTTAGGTTTGAATTTTGTAAATTATTTGTAGAGTCTGATTTTAGGTGCCAAGCAGCATAGCAATTTGGTATAGCTTTGAATATTGAAATTGGTTTTTCATAGGTCATGACAAATTTGTATTTTTAGAGGAGCATATAAGCCCATGCTAATAAATTTAATAAATTATGTATCCTCACTTATAAAAATTTTTCTTTCTGATTTTGTAAATTAAGGATGAGTTTCAAACCAAGCACTGCTGGTTTCTCAGTTCAATAAATTTGGCAAGCATTTTTAAAGCACACAGGTAACAAGTATTGTACTAGTTACTGAGAGCACAAAAATAAATAAAATGAATCCTCTGTCTTCTGTGCATTCATAGCCTGATCCTGAGACAACAGTGGCATATCAGGCCCATGGGAGAACCAAGTTACTACACAGAAACTGCTTGCAGTGTCTTTATACTAGGTCAGTGAAGATATTCATCAGTTTCAATGAACTAATTGCAGAAAACTGCATTAAGTTGGAAATGCGTTTTAGGCTAACAGAATTATACAGGCCAGCAGCTTTATACGTGGTGTGTTATGAGCCCTGAAAACTCTCATTGCTTCTAGAATGAGATATGAATCACCATAAGAATCAGGCACTAAATGATGATTCTATAATTGTTTCCTGTTTAAAACTAGTTACTTTAGATTCTATTGAATCTAAAATTTTCTCTCTTTCAGTGGAAGCTTATTGATAACTCTTGAGTATATATAGTGCTAGATTCTAATTTTTTAAAATAAAAATCTCATCTATAATCCATCTCATTTCACTAAAAATGGATGTAGTATCTAGTAAAGTTCACAATATGCAAACTTCGTGACCAGCATTTTTCACTTCTAGTTATATACCCTAAAATTTTTCTTATTGGGTACCAGGACTCTCACACATAAAAATGTTCGTGGAATATTGTTTATAAAAACTCCAAAGAACTATAACCCTAATATCCAATTAATTGGTAGAATAAATAGCAGCATATTCAAATAATGGACTGTCATATAGCCATCAAGTGGACAAAATAGAGTAAAATGCAGCAGTGTGCACAAAAAATACACAAAAATATATATGCATAAAGTTCGGCAGCACACAAAACTGATTTATATTATTTAGTGATGCATGTATAAGTGGCAGTTATTTTTAAAAACCAAGGACGTAATTACAAAACTTATGATAGTGCTTACCTCCAGAGGAGAAGAAAAGAGGTTGGTGAGGACTTACTGAGGTAAGCTGTGCACACAACTTAAGAAGGAATTGGAAAGCTAAGTAACCAGATAAATGTTATTTATTTTAATGCAATAAAAATATCCAAAATAATGCAAAAATCTATGATGAAGAAAATACCAAAATTTTAAAAGAAGATTAATAGGGAACTTGGAGGTATTCTTTCTCTTGACATGAGTGGTGCATTGTATGCAGGTTTGTTTTTTCACTGGGTTGCATATTTACATTTAGCAAATTTTTCTCTACGTATATTCTATATCAAAAAATTGCAAAAGGAAGTAAAAATGGGCACAGGCCGGCTCTAAATTTCTTGAGCTCTTTGCTTAAGTCCTGTGTTTCTGTTCTGTATTGAAGATTTCTTCTAGTTTCTTTTAAATTCTGACATTTCTTTTATAGAACAACAATTATATTGCCAAATAAACTGTCCAGTGATTTTGATAGTAGGTTTAGATTGTTCATCAGAAAGTTGGCTCTGTGTTTGTCTATATCCTGGCACCAGAATGCTCAATTTAACTTGAGGTACCCATTTGTCTTATGGCTCTGCTTCATACCCAAGCAATTAACCTTCATTATAATGGTTGGTTCACATTAGAATAATTATCTAGTTGATTGCTCTAGTGTAAATGTAGTCATAAATATGCCATTTTTTTCATGTTTCAGAAGGGAGTATTTTTTTTTAAATACCTTACCCCTACTCAACCGCCTATAGTCACAGAGATTAGTCTTTCTTTTCTTCATGTAAAGCATTAATAAATTGAGCTCAATATGTTATAAATTGTGTGATGTTAAGGTTTATATATGAATCAGCAAATTATTTACAGAAAATAAGACAGATTAATTCATTACCCTTGGCCTGTGTTGACGTAAGAACAATCCTGGCTTTCTGTACTTGATGGTCTCTGATTTACTAAAATTCAAGTTATTACCCTGTTACAAGTAGAATATAGATTTGAAAAAGTAAGCTCTGAAAATAAATCAATGAAATAATATTTTGATATTTAGCACTGTATATTAAGTGTTTTTCAAATGTAAGATTTGTATTTGATTCAACAGAAAGTGGAGGGAAGAAAAAAACTGGGTAAGTCACACACAATCTTGCTGGCTTGTTTTGTTTATTTAATTCTTCTCTTAAATTCATATTTACTTGGTTTAAATTTGAAGAACCAAAGAATTTCAGGTTGACAGCTGCTGCATTTTTAAAGTAAATGTAAATTAATAGAAATTTTCATAGTTACACATTCCTTATGGAAAAAAGAAAGTTATGTGAAATTCCTAAAAATTCTTTAAACTTCAAGAGTAGACAATCAACTAGTAGATATTCACAGTAGTAAGTTCTTAAATGTTGTTTTTTATGTTATCTGTATCGTAAGTTTAATTAATATGTTCCTCATTCAAAAACATTCAAGTGATACCTTTTATTTCTTGATGAAAGTTTGTAAAAAGTTACCATATTCCACTTAAGAAATATGAGCACTCTACTGTGCCAGGCACTAAAATAAACATTGATATAAAATAGGTATAAACTGGCATTAAAATCAATAAGATATCTGCCCTCAGAATTTATAAACTAGCATTCTAATGATGTCTTCTTGTGTTTAACAGTTTAGTAAACAAGTGTTTAAATGATAAAGGTGTCATTTTTCTGCAAAAATAACCATTCTTGGTAGGTTGCTCTGTAAGCTTCTAGACCACTCTTGTATATAAACATATTTCATTTACAAAATGGAATCCTCTGCAAATCCATTCATAAACAAATACCTCTTTGAAGTGTTTTTAAATTGTTGCATATATATCTATATTATTCTTTTTAAGATGACATAGTATTTGAGTTTATGAATGTAACATAGCTTATTTGGTCCTTATTGGTGGACATTTAACTGGATTCTATATATGATGTACAATTGTAGAGCATGTTTTACTTGGAGACATTTAGAGCCATCAGTATGTTTTCTAAATGCCTAAAATAAATTTTCTCCTTTACAAATAATTATGAGGACTGCAATTTTGCCAAGAATCACAAAAATAACTCTACTGTACACAGAAACATTTGGGACAAAAGTTCCACAAAGTCATTACCTCTGCAGCCAATTACACTGATTGAGTTCCTTTCCTTATGGGGCCCAGTGTGCAGTGGCTGCAAACAGCAACTTCCTTGATAGTGTATGTGGCCTGTTTCTTGAATGGTTTGCTCTATGGGACTTTGGTGACAGGTCTTCCAGATGTATGTTCATGTCTCTGACTTTGCACTACCCCAATGTAAGCTCCAAATAGGCATGCGGGGAGCCTTTGGAAAGCCCCAGGACACTGTGGCCAGGGTTCACATTGGCTAAGTTATCATGTCCATCTGCACTAAGCTGCAGAACAAGGAGCATGTGATGGAGGCCCTGAGCAGGGCCAAGTTCAAGTTCCCTGGCTGCCAAAAGATCCACATCTCAAAGAAGAGGGGCTTCACCAAGTTCGATGCTGATGAATTTGAAGACATAGTGGCTGAGAAGCGGATCACCCCAAATGGCTGTGGGGTCAAGTACATCCCCAGTTGTGGCCCTTTGCACAAATGGTGGACCCTGCACTCATGAGGTTTTCCACTGTACTGCCCCCTCCTAATATTCAACAATAAATTCTACTTCCTGTCCAAAAAAAAAAAAAAAAAAAAAAGACATTATCTGTCATTTGTTGGCTATACGTGGAAAGAAATCCTACAGGCATGCTAAACAGACTGCAGATGAGTTTTCCCTTCTGCTGGTGGCAACTCTTCTTCTTATACATTTTCTTTCATATGTGTAGTGTCAACCACTCTACTCCATCCTGGGTTCATCAGAGTCTAGAAAATACATTAGTTTAGATGACCAATCTTTATTTAGTAAAAGGTAAGAAATGAAGCACAAGGAAGCCAAATCCAAATTAAATTTGCCAGTTTTATTTTCCTTTTAACTAATTTACTATGTTGATAGGAGAATCTGTGGCCATTTGTACTCTAGTTGTCTTCTTGTGAGATGATAGTGTTTGGTTATGAATCTAAATTAGTCAAATTATAATTTAAACTGTCTTAAAATATCTTCATTATATTGCAGTTTTGATATTTCAAAATATAGATATTTACTATTCAGAATCCAAATGACTTTACATTTTTCTAAAGCTGGGATTTCACACTATGTAGAAAATTCTTGTTTTAGTGTTTTTATTCACTTAAAGTGTGTGAATAGAAGACTTTGCCATAGAATTTTGAAATTTGGGAGTTAACTAGGGGGAAAAAAACTCCTTCTTAGTTTGCATTCATTTGGCTCAATAGTCACAGGTTTGAGTTTTTAAATCCTTCATATGAAAACATTTTTAAAACCAAGGGCTAGTTTTTTTGTTTTGAATAAATAGCAGGTCATTAGGAGGGGAATTTCACGTTCATTTATACCATCAGTACAAAACATGTAAAATTCATTGTTTTGTGGAATTCACTTTATTTTTCTACATTCTCAGGGGCAGTTTTGGGGAACCAGAACTACAGAATTAATGTAGCTTAAAATGCTCTTTAACAGCTTGGCTTCCAGCCTGTTTGTGCTCTTGTCCTTTGTGTTGATTTGGTAATTTTGTAAAGATTAAGATGCGTTAATGGATTATTTAACTTATTTGTTGTGAAAATAACAACTCTCTCTTTTTTAAATTTTTTGATAAAATGAACATTTATTCCTTATTTATAATTTATTGAATAATAAATACTTAGCATTCACAATTAAGCAGATGTTAAAATGTGGTAACTGTTGAAAATGGAAAATTAGACAGCTGTCCCATTTTAAGTTGATGGGTGCAAAGTCTGTTTCTTTCTCTTAGGTTACCATTCCATCAAATACCATATCTGTGAACGGAAGGTCAAGACTCAGCCATTATTCCATGTCTACTGATGCTCAGGACGGCCGTTAAATGTTACCCTGCCACACTGCACTGCACTTCCACTTCAGACCAACTTCATGCTAACGGAACATTTTGGCAAATGTATATTCAGATGCACACTAATATATTATCTGTTAAAATAGGAGAATTTATGCTGTGGCTTTTAATGCCAGAAGAAAAGTTACCAGAATTTATAATTTTTTTTTATATTTTTTTGCCTTAAGAATTGAATATGCTGCTTTAGAACTTTAAAACGAGGTGTAAATGATTTTCATTTTTTACAAATGAAAAATAATCACTTTGTATTGATTTCACTTACCAACACATTCTCTGCAATGGTGACTTAGACAAAAGTATTAGATTCATAGAATTATATAATGAGGACAAACTTAGATCTGACATTTGCTGCCTCAGTGTTACAATTGGAAATATTTATAAGTTATATGAAAGCCTGTTTTGTGCTGAAAGAATGATTTAGAAAGTGATATCAAATAAGTATATTCAGTTCAATAATTATTTTCAGTGATGAATTACTTAGTGTGAAAGACTTGCCTTGTGTATTCTTTATGTAATTACAAATCACTGTCAAATTTATGAGAAGCTCATAGTATTTTAATATTTTATTAACATGGAACTCTTGTTTTTTTTTTAATCTTTAGAACTTAAATTCTGCAAGAATTTTAAATATTTTCTGTATATAATTATGACATTGTCACATAGAAATTACACATTTTATGTGCCAGAAGCCTTAAAAATCTTTCTGTGAAAATGTTGATATATTGAGACAGTTATTTCACATTTGATATGTAGAGAGGAATAGGGGTTAGTTCATGTCCTTATAAAAAACTTTAAAGACTATTTAGAAGTTCCAGAAATTCTGGTTTTAATTCAGGTAAAATGATAAAATAGTCATTATATAGTTCAGATGCTAATATCCTAAATAATAATATATATTTACATTAAAGCTAAAACTGTTAAGCAAAACAATGCCGAATTTGTTGGCTTACGGCTCTTCTGGAGTCTAGAGCCTGTTGGTGTTCTCTTCCTACTTTAAGAATTTAATTGCTCACTTATTCTAAAAGCTTTGTTCAAACAAGATATTAAATTTGTTTTCACTTTAACTACTGGAATATCTGCCTCTTTGGGATTTTTTTTCTATTTAATAAAAGCAAGTTGTATATTTGGGATGCTTTTAAATATATATGGTTTGTGTCAACCAGCATATTTATTTCCCTTACCTGATGCATACGTCTCTATTACCCAGTGAACAGACAAGTAATTGTCAGATGTACCATTTATTAGGGATCCCTAGTGTACATTTAAGCCCTGGCATTCTGACTCCAAAATGGATGGCCTAAGCATGTGAAATGCTTAGCATAGTTCCTAATATACGGCATGGCCATCTTAAAAGCTAAATGTTGCTGCTGTTTTCCTTGGATTAGTTGGAGAGACCCTCATATATAGATACTTAAGTTATGTTGTTATAAGCTAGTAGAGAAAGGAGTAAATTTTTTTAAATTGTGTTAGTATAATTATCTACTTGTAAAAATATAAATTCGGATCCCTAATTTAAACCTTAATATATTTGAGTTGGATTAAAGTCTTAGCTAAAACATGAGCCACATGTAAGATGTTTTCAATATGTTAATATATTAAAAAGGCTGAATTTATGAAAATATAAAAGTTTCTACAACTTATGAAAAGTCTACCCAATAGAAATATCAGCACACTATTCTTACAAGAGGACATTAAAAAGGCCAACATACATGGAAAAAAAAAATACTCTTCACTGAAAATCAGGGAAATACAAGTTAAAAACATGGGAAGGGGGCCAGGTGTGGTTGCTCATGCCTGTAATCCAGCACGTTGGGAGGCCAAAGTGGGCAGATCACAAGGTCAAGCGATCAAGACCATCCTGGCCAACATGGTGAAACCCCGTTTCTACTAAAAATACAAAAAATTAGTCAGGCGTGGTAGTGTGCATCTGTAGTCCCAGCTACTTGGGAGGCTGAGGCAGGAGAATCACTTGCACCTGGGACGTGGGGGTTGCAGTGAGCCAAGATTGCACCGTTGCACTCCAGTCTGGTGACAGAGTGAGACTCCATCTCAAAATAAAAACCAAAAAAAAAAAAAAAAAAAAAAAACAAACAAACAAACACGCACGAGAAGGTACCACAGCAAATTAGCAAAAACGTAAGTTTCAAAACAGCAAGTGTTGTCAAGAACATCAAATAGTGGGAACTCTTAACTGTTGGTAGGAAAATACACTGAAATAACTACTAGTTCTGTGATATCTAGTAAAATTAAACATTCCTTACCATGTTACCTTAATGAGGTATTTATATACACGCATACGGAAACATCTACAAAAATATTCAGGGCAGGCTTGCGTAAAACAGCAGAAAGGGGTCCTAACCTGTGCTCAACTTTGGTAATGCACATATTCATATGATAGACTTCCACACAGCAGTCGGACTGAACAGGCTAGAGCTATGTGTGTCCGCATAAATATATCTCAGAAACAAGTGACAAGAGTGAGTGATGGAATAAGATGTGTTTTATGAAACCGTTTATATAAAGTATAAATGTACAAAATACTATAACTTATGGCTGTATATGTAAAAAAAAATTGCTGGTGATTATCTGTGGTAACTAAGAAAGGTTGAATTGAGATTTACATTGTAAGAGGCATCAATTGTGTTTGTAGTATTTTATAAACTGAAAACGTGCTTATTATATTATAGATTCTAGTTTACTTGTAGTTTATAATAAAATGTTTTAAAGGTTACCTAGGATTTATGGGGCTATGTATATAAACCATTAACACATGTATGTTCTGAAAAGTAGCCTTATCTACGACCATTTTAGGAGAATGTGTGCTACCCTCTCAATGGGGAAGGAAATTTGTGACAAGTAGTTTTCACCCATCGTATCCTGAAATAACACAAGTAGGATACAGGAATGGTCTAGAACCAACTTTTGACTTTCATGTATAATTTTTAGCATCTAGGCATTTTGTTTTTCCTTCTTTTCCCCAATCAAGTTATTTCTTTATATAATATTAAAATTATAATTCAGATTATATATATATATGAATATAAAGTACATTCTTTTTTGTCCCCATCATCCCACTCTCCTCTCCAGAGATAGCTGTTAATATTTTGATATGAAGTCTTATATAGATGTATTTATATGAAGTACATATGTGCAGGTTCGTTGGGGGCTTTTATGTTTGTGTGTGTTAACATGAAAGAGTCACACTCTAATACTATCTAACAACTTTCCCTTGATACCAGCAGTGTTCTGGGAGAGCTTTTCTTTTTGCACACTGCAAATCTATTATATTTCCAGTAGCCATTCTATTGTTTTTTAGCTGTGGTACATAATGTTGGCTGGAGTGAAGAGATTGGGGGTCAGATGACAAGTCTGCCACTTACAAGTCATGGGATCTTGGGCAAATTACTTTGTCTGTGCTTCATTTTCTCTTCTGAAAACGAATTAACATGAACAAATATGAACACTTCTTTTAAAAATGGCAGACAATTCATCTTCTAAAGTTACCTAATGTCAATACTATTAGTGAACAGGTATTACCTGCCTAATATAATCCCTATTCTTTGGGGAGTGACCCTTCTTCGGATTCACCTCTTCATATACTGCCAGATCTGGCTTTGGCTGCTAGGCATTGGCAATAGCATGCACACTCTGTCACCTTATCCAAGTCCTTGAAATAAGACCAATCTTTGACCTGAGACTTAGTTACTTATATGTGCTTAAAACCAAAAGCGTCCCAATTGATACAATTATTTGTCTAATGTCAGTTTACTTTTGACCTACTACCAGTAGAGAAAATAAGTATTAAAGAGCTAAGAATCAAATTCATTTTTTACAATCTATTGATTTTGGTAACTGATTTGAAAGAAAAGAACTTGCAATTAAAGGTCATAACAAAGATTTCCAGGGTCAAAGTGATTTCTGAGATTTTAGATGTGAAGCTCCTATTTATTAGATATTTTAGAGTTTACAAGATTTTTTGTCTGATCCACATATTTTAAAAGTGTACAAATATTTCTCATTTACAAAGCTCACACAAACAGAGGAGTCTGAGAGTCCTACATCCAATTTCTAGTCTGCTCTTCCCCATAACTAAATGTAGAAATGATGGTGAAGAAATGTGCTAGATTTCAAGGGATATCAGAATAGGAAGTTATTTGTTCTGAAGCTTCAGCTAGTTTTCTTTTTCTCTTAAATGTTACCACATTCCTGCAAATTTCCATCCTTAATATGTTAGGCTCTTCATATAGATACATTATGTTTACAACAAGGAAAAAAATGTCACCATGTGCTCAGAACTTTTTTGACAGGTATTTTGAGAAGAGTTGTGGAACATTCTGGTAATTTGTAGAGATCTCTTGGCATCTCTACTTCACAAACTGGAAAAAATCATTTGGAAGCCTTGCTAATTACTTTTCTTGGAGAAGCAAAAATGCTACAGTTGCAAACAAATGTATAGTTTTCAAAAGAAGCAACTTTTTTGCTCCACAGTTTATTCTTAGTTTCCAGCCCACCATTTGCGATAGTGCCCAGCGTTGGCCTCAATTCTGCATCCATACCTTTTGCTCTGTGACTTTGCAATCCTCTCATTGAAGAGGCAGAGCTCACTTTCCCACCCATAGAAGCAGGTTTTGAGAGTAAGAGAATAAAGTGAAAATGACACCGTACCAGTTCTGAGACCAGCCCTCGAAGATTTGCATGTTTCTGTTTGCTTTCACTGTATTTGAAACGTTGCTGTGAGAAAGACATCTCCCAGACAGCTGAATGGTCCCAAGAAAAGGAGAAGAGATGCAGGGAGCAGAGCTCCCAACTGAGGCCAGCCTAGATCATCCAAGAGCCAGGCCTGAAGCTTACTCTGATGTGTAAGCAGTAAATGTTTACTCAAGCAATACCAACAAAGTTTGTGGTTGGCTGGTATAGAGCATTAATGTGGCAATAGGTGCAATACACCCTGTTAAACCATACACATATCTGACTCTAACCCCAGTAATAAATTCATTCAATCTGTTCAGGTCCATACACCCTGTTCCCTCCAGAATCCCACAGATTACCTACTAAATCCAATACAAACACATCTCAGACTTTCTGTGTAGCTCCCAACCAATTAAAAGCAATTCTAAGTAATATTTTTTCTTAGTTATGGTGCAGAAGTATTTTCTCTCTCTTTCTCTATGGTTTTCTCTCATTTTGTCTTCATATCTGGAAGCAAGAGAGCCCAGCTCTAGATGACTGCCAAAGTCATCTAGAGCCCCCTCAGAAGATCACTGAATTTGTTTGTTTCACAGGATTGCAAGATAAGATACAGAATGCCCAGTTAAATCTGAATTTCAGAGAAACTACAAATTGCTTTTTTAGTATAAGTATGTCCCATATAATACTTGGGATATAATTATATTTTTATACTGTTTATCTGAAGTTCAAGTTAATTAGGGATCCTGTATTTTTCTTAGCTAAATCTGGCAACCATACTATTTCATTGAAAACCCAAACATGTACAGAAAAGGAAGAAGCAGAATCTACCATATGAGTTATAGAAGAAAGCAGGCCCAAGACCCCTTACGTCAAGAAACCAAGAGGTGTCATTATGGAAAAGAGTAGCTAAATCTGTGTACTCCTTGGTAGTTCTCTATGAGAGTGCCCTCATGCTATGAATGGGTGGGGGAAGGTTCACTGAAGAGTTCATAGTGAAGAAGCTTTTTGAATGATTTCTGTTCATGGGTTTTGGATACCTTCAAGCCATCAGAAAATACACACCTAGGAAATTCCGGTAATGTCATAATCACCCTCCATGTTGTTATTATGACAGTTAAAACAATTGTTAAATCTAGATGGTGGGTACGTGGGTTATAATTGTACATGATTCTTAACTTTTCTGCGCGTTTGAAATTATAATAAAGTCAGTAAATGTTGACGCTCTCCTATTACAGTGATCAACTGCAGTCTATACATGTGAGTAAAGACATGTAATCTGTGGCCATTTGTTCTCCCACCACCCATTAAGAATGTTAGTCAAGTCAGGGTAGATGATGCCAGGCAAGTAGGAATTTGGCAAAAGCATCTCACTATTACCAATGTTAATTCAGGGTGTTATGGTTTCGTTTTAACTAAAAAACACCATACACTCCAAGA